TCAAACGTAGGTCAGTTTGTGATTTCATTTTTATTGTATTTCATTGCACAGTTTCCATAGCATAGTTTATTCGCTGATAAAGATCTAACATGTAAAACCAACAAAACTCAGTGGATCCTGTTTCATTGATCTAGGAGTTAGGCGTCGGTGAATGCGAGTAAAGGTCCTGAGTTCCATCCTCGTTATCTGGGTCATGGATTTATACTGAGTACCAATTCCATACGAGATTGAAACGGCCATCCACTGCTTCCATGTTGTCAATGGTTATTTCAATGGAACTGTCAATCTGTCCGGTCAACTTTAATTGTTCGCTTGTTTCTCTTGTTTGTACTGAGTAGTAACTGTCATTTATCGCTTGATCACTTCAAATATCAGTTTGAAAATCTGTCCTTTCAATTTCTCGGTGATGACAATTGAGTTCATGTTTATGGTCAACCAGATAAACGAAAGATATAGAGTCTGAAGTGACAGTTGTGAATCTGGCGATCGCACACATCAAACTAATCAGTTTCCATCATCACCGGAATTTGTTCATAAGCATTGTCTGCATCAAATCAATAGGCAAACACCAGAATTCAGTTACGTCTTCAATATTCAGGTGTATGAGTTGTGCTTCTGCTTCATAAATTTTGAAAGTCAAGTAATATTCGAAGAATCATTCCCTAACTATCATCCTTCTAGATCACAGATGACCAAAAAAGAGTTGATTTTGTGTACTGCCTAATATTACGGATTGATAACTTCGATTTGTCTATTCTCATAAACATCAGGATTCATTAGTAGCAACAAGTGAGTAATATTCAATCTATCATGATCGCCTAATGTAGAAACCATTCTAGTCTATAACATATGCTGAGTAAAAGTACCACAGAATTTGTACACTCATCTTTGTGATCATCTCATTTCACACAGATTGTGTACGAACATAGAACTATCCACTAACTGGAAACTGTGAAACCAATAACCGTTAGTCAATAAAATCACAGAGACCATTAATTTTATCTCTAAGTACATAAACAATACTGAGATAAACATTGGGATAACTGAGGTTTATTTGAAGGAATTATTACTACGTTGTACTTGCAATGTACAGTTCACATTCAACGATGTAATTCATAGACAGAAGGAGGGTATAGCAATGGGATCCTTACTTGGTCCTTTACTAGCAGATTGCTTCATGGCCAATTTAGAAAACAACCAACTCAAAAGAATTATAGAAAACCTCCACTTGTATAAAAGATATGTGGATGATATCTTTATCATTTGTGACAACAAATGTAACTTAAGTGATCTCCTAAAGACATTTAATAATTGTCACCCATCAATAAAATTCACACTTGAAGTTGAAAGCAAACAAAATATTCACTTCCTTGATGTAGATATGAAAAGAAAACAAGATGGTACTTTAAAAAGATCTATCTATAGGAAATCCATATGGAATGGCCAACTATCAAATTTCCACAGTTGGGTTCCCATCAGCCGAAAAAGAAGCTTAATAATAACTCTCGCCGCAAGTATACGAAGAATCTGTAGCATCGAGGTCGTAGAGAAAGAATCGAGCCTTTTAAAAGAGATACTTATCAAAAACGGATATCCTTCTATATTCATTGATAAGAACATGAAGCCGAAAATGCCAAAACCACAAACAACTACAGTAGAAAAGAAAATTTTAAACATGAACATCGACTTCAAAGGTGATAGTGCCGCTTATATCTTAAAGAGGAGAATTTCGGATTCTTTAAATAGAACATTCTTCGCAGCAACATTGCGAATGTTATTCTCCAGCCGATCACTGTTCACCAATAATCTGAAAGATAAATTATCGCATCTGACCAACTCAATGTGCATCTACCAATTTACCTGCTCTTGTGGAGCTAGGTATATAGGTCGTTCGATGCGTACTTTATCCAAAAGAATTCAAGAACATTGTCCGGCGTGGCTAAGAAGAGGAGGCAACGGCTCAATAAGAAGTTCTATAATCGAAAACCTTGTGAACACAGGTCACTCAATCAAGACAGACTCTGCGTTCAAAGTCATCTACAAGGTAAGTAGAAGCCTTCCTAAGACAATTAGACTGCATCTTCTTTGCATTGCGGAGGCAATAGCCATACATTTTGAAAAACTAGAATTATGTGTACAAAAGAGACTGGTACAACCTCTTCTTTTACCATGGTCCTAATGTATTAAAATTTTTTTTCTCTTTCTTCATACTCTTGTTCCTTTACAGCCACCTGCTTCACCTTCTATCTTCCCTTCAAATCTTCTACCTCCAACCGGTTTGTTTTTATTTCCACGATCATTCCGATTACATTTCATCTTTGTTTCAACATTTTGTGTTATTTTATCATGCTGAGCCATCCTTACCAGATGAATATTTAAGCCATTTACTATCAAAAGATTATTCGCTTTCCTTGTTTCAAAAATATTTTTCTAATACCTTTGTTTATTTAACCTCACTGTCACCATGTATAACAAAAGTTTATTATCAGTATTATTATCACCCTTTAAAAATAAGTATATATCTATTTGCGATTGTACAGCTTTGAAAATGAATTCGCCAAAAAGAGAACTCTTCGCTGAACTAATCTTTCTTTCTTATTTAAAATCTTTATGTCACATTAATTCCATGCTCAGTGGTTTATGACCTACGGTAAGCACTATGAAGTTTTAAAGGTTTCAAATCGAACAATCATGTCAACAACATTAGATATTTCAGTGTTATCTTATATTTATAATCGAAATGAGCTCCTTATTGCATAAGATTAACATAGATTTTATTTACGAGATACGTGATTCAATCAAATTTCTGCATTTTCATTGATAATACAACGTGATGAAGTGCGACTTATTCAGTACGTGCTCCACACATTGACCTTGTAGTTCACCCTGATTAATCACACAAAATTCTTAAATGTTCTATTTGATTAACCCAGAATACGTTGTACATCAAACGTTACTCGAACGTATAGAACCCCACGTTCTGAGTGGATGGAAACGCTTCGGCTCCTTGACGGCCTCTGGTGTTGTCGTAGTGCTTATCGAAAGCCGTCCCAACAAGTATATTTATGGACATATCATATTCCACAACTGCATACATATTGAGATTATTTGTGCTTCTTTCTAATTGACTTCAGTTGACATTATTCAATTAGCCTCCTTCAAACAAGCACAAACAACAAACTGTGAATAGGGTTAGAGAAGAATGTATACAATTGAAGTCGTATGGTAATAGCCAACACCACAATCACAATCACAGATAATTACGCATTTTCGAATCTAAATGTTGTTTAACGGTTGTCAGAGGATCTCGTCGAAATTGAGATATGGTGAGTTCGTAGGTCTTAGTTAATTATAGCAAAACGTATTTTGACGTGTACAAAATGTGCCAATCGAGTTACATGTTGATCTTCAGTCCATTACAATACTTGACTACGTACTGATTGGATTACGGATTGAAAATGAGCAGAAACAATCGTCTTTCAAGAGAATCATCCACACATATCTTTGACATTTTGAAAATAAGTGTGTTTGGTTGATTATGAGTTTAGGTATCCGCAAATTAATAAATCGATTGAATGTGGTTATGAGTGACAAAATGAATCTCGTTACTTTGCATTTAAAATCCTACATAATAACACGATGATACAACTTATGATCGAATCGGACGACCATTGATATGAATCAATGAAGTATCCATTTGATTGTGAAATCTTCAACCAAAGATGTTACTTTTCTAGTACAAATCCATCGGTAACCTGAAATTACCACTTCATTCGATGTATACGTGTGTACAACTTTGCTGGATTTCCATACCAAATCAATTATCAGTTCGTATGCGATATAGTTAATAATCAATATTTTCTATTCCTTCTGAAGGAGATCTGTCACATCACTTACTACTACTACTTATGCCTGTTACTCCTAATGGAGCATAGGCCGTCGACCAGCGTTCTCCAACTCACTCAGTCATGAGCCTTATTTTCTACTACCATTCAATTCTTGTTCATTCTTCTCATATCTATCTCCGTTTCTCGGCGTAATGTGCTCTTTGGTCTTCCTCTCCTCCTCCTTTGGCCTTGACGATTTCATATAAGGGCTTGTCTTGTGATGCAGTTGGGTGCTTTCCTCAATGTGTGTGTATCCTATCCATTTCCAGCGCTTCTTCCTGATTACTTCCTTCATTGAAATCTGGTTTGTTGGCTCTCACAGTAGGTTGTTGCTGATAGTGTCCGGCCAACGGATCGGAAGTATTTTGCGTAGGCAACTGTTAATAAACACCTGTATCTTCTGGATGATGGCTTTCGTCGTTCTTTAAGTTTCCGCCCCATACAGTAGAACTGCCATCACATTTTTATTGAAAATCCTATCATTGTGCTGGTGCCAATTGTTTTGATTTCCAGATGTTCTTCAGTTGTAATCAACCTTGCCTGACACCGGTTTCTACTTCGAACGACTTTGTCAACTGTCCACCCTGCACGATTTTTTATGAATACGTGTGTACGACTATGCTGGATTTCCATAACAAATCAATTATCAGATCGTATGCGATATAGTTAATAATCAATATGTTCGATTCCTTCTGAAGGAGATCTGCCACATTATTGTGCTCTTATTTCTGATAAGCTCCATGTTTCGGTTTAGTGGCAATTCCAAATATTTTGATCTGCGACAAGGAAAACATTACGATCATATGCTTTAACTGAAACAAATAATAAAACATATAGTCTACTGAAGATAAACGAAAACTCAGTATTTCTCATGTGGTTTGTGTATATCATCAACTATCGTCAGACTATCGTCAATCGGAATCTTTCTGATATTTATACTGACATCACATCTGTGGACTGAACGCCCTAAATCTTCACTAACCTGTGGTTTTTCCGTACAACCTTTCATGTTTCCACAGATTATATGGAGATTCTCACAATCCTACAAATTTCCTCACATTTGAGAGATTCAGACATGTTTAGTGCCAATTACAAAATGATTGAAACGGTATGTAATATACAGAAACCCTTCAGAGAAATGTTTTATTACAACAACATACATATGCAGTGATGATTGAAACTGACAGCTTAGTAATGGGAAATATTTATGTGCGAAAGCAATCAAAGCAATTCGGTTAATCAATCAAATATATGTGTGTCTGTATGGATGTAACCATTCTGAAAACAGTCATAACATGAATCAATTCTTCACAACAATTGTCAATCCATCTCCAGTTCTTAAGAGAGAAATTCGAACAGAGTTATCTCTAGCTATCAATGCATTCATTTCTCTTATACCGACAGTTTCAGAGCTGTTATCATTCTCGTCGAGCACACGCTGCCTCCATAGAACCTGGGAAAGAGATGGTAAGAAAAAGGGTATAAAAGACAATCATTATGTGTGATTTAATGGCACTATAAGCATGTATCGTATTCATACACCATAAAGTATATTTTCAGTCAAATTAAGAATAACCTTCATCGGACAATAGAAGGTTCATTGATTTGGTAATCGGATTCTTCCAATATATCAAACCAATGTACATAGCCCTTGTTCTCCCAAGTCCTATCAAACCAGAGATGTAGGTTTTTGGGATAGACAACCATAAACATGAAATCTAAAACTTGATTCTCAAGCTCTGAAGAGTTTTGAATGCAGTATGTGGTTTTAAATATGAAGTCAAAATCTCTCAGAAAGCTGATTTCCAACATATGAACTAAGAGATTGGGAAGAGCTACGGATAAGCATGTTGCATCTGAGTCCACTAGAATAATCCAGACACTGTGGTTAGAATCTATAAGATAATCAATATTCTACGTCAGATTATTATCAACAGTAAAACTGTGACTATTCAAATAACAAGATAATTTGAAGGCACCAGTCAGTAATGTTTGCTTAGGATTATTAGAACAGACCAACTTATAATTCCCTCTACGCAATAGCTTCCAATTAGTTGATCCAAGATAAATTATTCATACATATATGGGATAATCTTATTTTAAGCCATTTAGTTTGAAATATAAGGCTATCATTCAGCAGAAGGTGTACAACTATAGTCATTTATTATTATTAACATTATACTTCACACTTCACCGAATATGTGGAATATTCCCTCGACAATTTATGAAATGTGGAAGCAGTTTTAAGGGCGAGATATTTCCATACAGAAGGTTCATTAATAGCCATTAAAAGATAAATTTGTCATGAAAGTTGACTTCAATTGTATTCGGATACATAGAACATATGCTCGTAAATAAAACAAACTTACATTATCAATGGCGATGATTCCACGAGGTCGAACTAGTTTTAAACATAATTCGTAATATTTACTATAATTTTCTTTTTCACCATCGATCAGGGCAAAATCGAATGTTTCACTCTCTCCATTATCAATCAAATTTTCTGTTGGCACAACAGTTCAATCAAAATATATAAAGTTCAGCTACCAAATCAATATATAGTTTACGACAAAACTGTTATCAAACTGAATGTACTTACATACACCCAACCGTTATCAAATACTAACCGAATAAATGTATTCGTTCAACATCATCAGTAAAATCGTTTTTATTGACTAGAAGAACACCTATATCAGACATTGTACATGTACCGTTCACCTACTCACAACATCGCAGTGTTCAAACCAACCTCCGAGCACACATCTAACTTGTCGAGATACATTTATATTTGGTGATGTAATGCTACATCTGTAGATAAAATATCACGACAACTGGATGTGAGGGTGAAGGAGAACAAACTGCGGTTAAGGGACATTCAGAAATCGTCAGGTCATATACAAATGCTCACACAAAAATCAGTGGTAGCATTACACTCAATAGAGAGCTAATCCATATCATATACAGACAGGTATCTACCTCAATACAATAGAAGATGTTGTTCAATTTCGTGAATTGGTTGAACTTAGGCCTTAACACTGTTGAATGCCGGCTCAGTGGTCTATAAGTTAAGTGTTCGTGCACGAGATTGAAGGTACTGAGTTCGGGTCCTGTGTGCGGAAACGTGGGTGAGCACTGCTGTGGAATCTCATACTTAGACGAGATGGTCGTCCAGTGATTATAGGTAGTTCAACATCCATCAACTCATGATCTCCTAAGGAAATTCTCAGTTTTCTAGTGAGAGGCCTTGATCAGTGTGACTGATCCATGTCAGCTACAGACAAGTATCTACCTCAGTATGATGGAACGTGGTAGCGCGATTTCGTTGGTAGGTTGAATTTAGACATTAACACTCTAGGATGCCCGCCCAGTGGTCTAGGGATTAAGAGTTCGTGCAAGAGACAATAGGTCCTGAGTTCAAATCCCGCGTGTGGGGTCATGAATGCTCAATGCTGAGTCGCCCTATAGTATTACGAGACCCACGTCTAGTGGCTTCCATGTTCCCAGTGGTGATCTAACATCCATCGATTCATGATCTCAATCAAAATTAAACTCCTTCTCGCACTCCCGATCCACTTACACGCAACAGATACAATCTGTCTTCCTAACATACATTTCGTCACACAAGTTACACTAATACTTCTTAGTGTCAAGCTTACTTGTAGATTCCGTCAACATCAACCAACACTTCATTATTTTCAACTATCTTAAACAGAAATGTAGCATGAATTCCACATATATTATCTTTCTCCTAAATCAATCAGATAGTATTGCTGACACCAGAGTACACATCAGTAACCTGATGACAATATACTTATCTCCATGGATTTTACATGATTGAGCAGTGAGTGTGTATTCGCGTTTTGTTTTTCTTGACAACATTAAAGCTTATCACATCGTTAGACTTACGTAGTATTTGAACATCTGAACCGTGTCGGAAGTCAATTTTCGATTCTACACCTGCCTTCTTCCATGCTGGCAAACAATAGTCTTTCAAATATTCATCCGTTTTATCCAAGGCAACTACACGTCCATCTGACGGCAATACTTCTGCGATAGACAATGCACTATATCCAGTATAAGTTCCTAAATTCATTTTAAAATAAATGGAAACATATCTGTTGATAATGACTGGTCGTCTAACTGATGTACAGTGGTTGGTAAAAAAACAGTAGAATTACCACAGTAACATCTTCCAGACTGGTTTAGATCACACTGTAGCTTGACAAAACAGTCGTCAGCTTAACAAATATATCTGAAACCAATTATTACTGAACAAAGCAACCCAAAAAGTAGTGAACGTCAGAAATTCCAGATATAACGTTGAACAATCTACTGACTATTTGAACTCATTACATCAGTAGATCATGTGTTGGTGCGCGAAATGAAAGGCAATAGCTTCGAATTTTCATGCGAATATTAATTACACCATGCAAATGCATCCAGCTGACGAGTCTCAAATGCAATGAAATCAGTGTTCCAGTCTTCACTTCCAGACCAATATACAAGTCAACTACGAATGTGTTGTTGATATATGGTATCAACATAGTCGTTTCAAGATAATTCGCTCAGTCATTCAACAAAAGTGGGCATGGTAGCCACATTCTGTCTATTTTGTCGCCAATTACACATACCTATACAGTTTATTAAGATCATTATTTAAAGACGAGCTAGCAATACTTGTGTATTCTACTTACTTCATCAAAACCTAGAACTTGTTTGAGAAGCAATGGACTACATAGAATGGATATATATACTTGCAATCAGATCCTCATTTACCTCGTACTTACCAATAGCAAGTGTCCTTCTAGCATTTATCGCATAACACAAATTTGATAGAAGTTGCATTTCTATGCTAGAGATAAGCATTCTTGACAGTGGATGTTTACTGGTCTCCTACAAAACACTTATGGAGGACAATAGTCATGATGATTACTTGTAATAACCACTTTTGTGCTTCAGACAGACGTAGTGAATGATGATATATATACTGATGAAGTTTGTCTGCGCTTTTGGTACAACCATATTCGGTTACTGATTTTGAAATGCTAAGGTCGGTCATGTTTGTAATGAGCTGTACTGAAACAAATTGAACATATGTACATTAGTAAGTTACTAGGGTTAAAATGTAAATATTCAGTGATATGATGATTATTTACCACTAAGATATTTATGGTATGTTTCCCTTTGGATTGAATTGAAAGAATGTAAAATGTTCAAATATAGAACGCATTTAATGAATAAACTGATTAATATTAAGTTATCGAATTATTAATAGTGACTTATATTAAAATACCTGTCAAGTGTTCTGCCCTACTGCATGAATATACATTGTAATGTTGATATTCACGCTGAAATTGGAACACGGTGTTGATTACCACAAAAATCCACATCTACTGGGTTTCACTACCAGCCACCTTCCGAAAGTTGATCAAACTGTAGCTGAGAACGATATCAAGGCATCTCCTCAATGAGCCTGTACGTCGATAGTAAACAACCAATAAGAACATATAAAAACCTTGAAAATACTGATAAATATTATGCTCATTCAATAAGCTCGTGGATCTCATGATTCAGTGGATGACAAGCTGATTATAGAGTGGTCGTTACCTGACTTTGATTTCAGTGTGAATATCGTTGACATGATACACTTATTTTCAGCTCAATGTTCATAACAAGAACGAAACCCTCCCGTGTAGCTACTAGTAATTTGTGATCTGATAATTCCTTCCGAGCTGTTGTGTTATAGCCAAACACAGATAAAAGGGAAAATAATTCTAGATGATTCAGACTGATTTGTGGATTTAAGCTACCAATTAGACTATGCTGTGCTATTTGTAAACGTTGATAACTTTTGGTGGCATGGGATATGACTCCAAGTAGATCGTATGAATATTTGTTATTGAATGATTGCTATCGAAATATATTTGTCGCCTATCCTCATATATAATCATTGACTTTAATTGCGTTAGTCAGTAACGGAATTAAATAAGTCAAATAGGAGAATGAATTTCGAATACGTATATTTCATACAACCTTTGATCCAGACGAAATACCGAAGAAGTGAAGGGAACAAAGCGAAGCAAATGACTCGCAGTGTAGAGGGCTCGTGAGCCAACTCATTTCGTCATGCTTTAATCGATATTTATATTCGCACAAAAATAAGTTACAGACATGTGATCAATAGGATAAGAAGTCTTCACACACATACGCTCATGTAAAAACAGTCATGGTTGATAAGCGAGTAATTAACAAGTTCAAAATGTGACTCACGTAGAATGGGTCGATTGGCCTATCCAAAAGCTAGAATAAGGTATATAGGCTAAACAAAATAACAGACACTACACATTAATAAATAAGTGACCATGTTTCTCACAAAGTACTGTACTGGATTGATAAATTACGCTTCTGATTTGTTTTCACTAGCGTGAATAAGCAATGCACTCGATATGGCTGTGAAGGAGGGTTCGGCAATTCGAGTAATTAAGTAAAGTTGCTCGATTGAATAACACGTTGACCTTAATTGAATCAGTCTATGTGTACACAACGGCAAAGACATAACATCTGTTCAATAACTTAATTAACGGAAATAAATGTTAACACTTCATCTTAACGATCTTCCTCCCATTTGATACAAACTAGTAAAGAAAGTACAATTTATATTGCTGTTCGCTCGACATTTCAGATGCTTTCGTATGAACAACTAATCTACAATGTGTGAAACTGACAATCTAGTGTCAGTTGAACAAGATGACAAACTAACATGGAACAGCAATCCAAGTGAGAATGCAATCAATACAGTCATTCAAATTTGATAAACGTTCCTTACACAATATAGAAAATTATAATCGTGGACACATTTTAGTCAGTGCATTTCAAGGCGGACTAAAAGTGAACCATGTAAAATAAAAAATATTATGAAAGGTAATACACGAGTAAACCAAGTAAACAGAGGGTATGCGGCATGACATATATGAACTAATTGAATTTACTTATTCCTGAGCACTAAACGTGGATACGATTGGCCGTATTTTCATAAAGATGATTCATTTGGAATGAAGTACTCGGTGGTGGATTTGTCGTTCTGTAGTGCTTAGTTAAATATTAGGACACAAGTTCAGATATATCTGAAAAACGCTTTTGAAACGATCATGTTTGATACACTAGTCAGTCTCGACATATTATCTCAAAACAGGTTTTGTCTATATATGACCAGATGCATCAATCACCATAGACCGAATCCTCTGCTTGATTTTCCTTACAGAAGTGATGCAAATGTTACCAATACCTAAGGCGAGACTCATTTTCACAGAGACAAAACTGTAAGCACATTTTGTGTTGCGTAATATTTCAGAATATTGTAGCTATTCAGCCAACGTTCCATATTTATCAAAGCAAGAGTTATTCCATACTCTGCGATAAAATGTCAACGTGTGTCGAGAATCTAGTCATCAGACTTCTGTGAATGTCTCACATAGATAAACGCCATTTTCTACAATACAGTTTACGGACAGAACACTCACCAATCGTCAGCGGTATCAAGTGAACCAAACCGGTTCCTACAAAAATGTTCTTCCAAGGTCACTGAGAGGTTGACTTACACACGTCGATGCTGTAAAACAATCCATTTTAGGATTTTTTTTATAGCATAATAATCAGACTTGAAATTGACTGCCGATGGGAAAAAATCCTATGTTAACTACCCAAAATGTGATGTGATATTTTTCATTGGCTATTTTTGTTTGTATAAGCGGTGTTTCAGACCACCGCTACTTCGGCCGTGCAAATCAAGCCGCTCCACAAAGCCTTTGCTATTTCTGGAGCCATTTGAACTGCCAAACGTAGCTGTGACTTTTCTCTTATATAATCAGCCAACAACAAAAGAACAGCTGTCAGACTTCAAGGATGCATGGAGCGTCATCATGAGTCCAGCTTTGGATGTGAATGAAACCATAAGTGTGGACACGCATAACGTAATGTGTAATAGATACACAGACGTAAGCACGGTTGTGAGAAAAATGAAAAAACGCGCTAAGATGAAAGAAATACAGGAATCTCTGAAATATATGGGTGAACGGTTTCAAATCTGGATTCTCATATCAACGCATGACGGACTGGGAAAGAGTAATGCCTCAGTTGTGCAGATGAATTCATCAAAATAAAGAAATAAGGTTAACGGTTGGCATACTATAAAATTTTATGGAGTTAAGGAAACAGAGTGAGACCTGTATGTCTGACGGCGACTCGGACTTCAGGGATGAGAGGAATTAAGAAAAACAAACTTCATAATTTGTCATGGCAGGTTTCACTGAGTGGTCAGTCAGTTTTCACATTTGCAAATTTATCTACACACATGAACATTGGTTAAAGGAGGCACAACTAGATATGCGCCACATAAATCATTCGATTTTTGTGGCGGCTGTGATATTGCACGGGTGTCCAAACCGAAGTAGGTGGATTTATTAGAGTACCACACCTGAAACCTTTGACCTAAAGGTCTTATCCACGATGCAATGGAGCGACGTAAGAAGATGCAGTACCATGGTAGCCGATGACCATAAGTTTTTTCATGCCCCATTTGTGCCTCCAGGATAGTAATGACGATGTGCACCATTGATTTGGAATCAGAGTTTTCTAACTCCCCTAGATGGACACTCTGTTTCCACCAACTCGGTTAAAGCGCCATGTATTCGCTTTTTGTTCTCTCAGTTTCTTAAACGAATCTTCTGCAGCGCGGATACGGTTAGAAGGGCTTCCCTGGCAGTGGTTGTATTTTTCGTAACTTCAGGGTGTTTTCCGAGAACAAACCAAAGTCTAGATTTGAATATGCAAGCTACTCCGAGAAACGTTACCAGGAATTACTGTTTATAAGCTTTTCGGTATAAAACAAAACAGGGACTCTGAAAGAAATAAGGAAAACCTCCTTCTCAATTTCAATATCGCTACTGCTGAAGAAACAAAAGATTGGAAGATTGATGCTTAGTGACTGGATATGAAAGATGTCCATGTGGAACTCATGCTGTTTAGTAGTCTTCGAGCATTCTTATAGCGTACCATTAATACGGTGAGAAAGAAAGAATTTCGGGTACTTATGCTGCAAATGTTCGTTATAGAAAAACCTTGGGTACTAGGTTATTTCCATCGTTCCGGAGGAGTTGATTTATTTCTGCCTGTGTCGACCATTTTTAAAGCGATTTTAAAGCCTGAGATCCACACAAAAATTCTTCAGATTCAGTAAGTGAACAGGAATCTTCCAGAATTAGGTTCATTTCATCAGCAGAAACAAAAGCGAAATTTCGAAGACGTTTGAATGAATTATTCAGGAATACGCATTTTTCCTATAGAATAAACGTATTGAATGTGACCTCACTTTCCAGTGGTAGAAACAGAGGTGCTTCCTCGCTTTTCCAAGTATAAGTGACAAGTGATTCCGTCACAACAATCAATAGCGACCGGATACAACAAGTAGCGTGCAATAAGAAGATGTTTCTTTGGCGACGGAGCAACCACAATGAATTTCTCATTGGAGCAACTAGAAGCTCATTTGGAACATCAAGAAAAGTGAGTCGAACGGTCAAACACCACAATCATGGAAGCCCTTATGCAGAAAATGTGCCTCACCCAGCAAAATCCCGCTTCTGGTGCACTTCAAATATCACACACAGGTTCAGCTGTCGATGCGATCCACGAATTCAATTTCGATGGTTTTGCGTGTGTTAATTTCATCTCTTGGCTCAAGAAAGTTGAAGATCTGTTCCATACTGATCTCTGCGGATTGGAAGACGCTTCAAAACTTGGAATATTTGAGAGAAGTGATTCTGATAATATTCAGCACATAAATCATTTTCCAACAACAGTTGTCAATCCATCTAAAAAAATTCATGGAATAAATTCGCACAATTCGTGACAGTTGTGAATCTGGCGATCGCACCCATCCAACAAAACAGTCGTCATCATCACTGGGACTTGTTTATAAGCACTGTCAGCATCAAATCATTGTAGACCATCGGAATTCAGTTACGTTTTTAATAGTTAGGTGTATGAATTGTGCTTTTTCTTCAAAAGTTTTGAAAGCCGAATAATATTCGCAGAATTCATCATTGTAATCACAAATGATTAAAATACAGTTGATTTTATGTACTGCATAATATTAAGTGTTGATAACATGAATTTGTCTGTCCTCGTAAACTATGAAAGTCAACTGACATTCGAAGATCCACTTCCGAACTCTGTGTTACGTCACTCAAAACGTCCAGGCCACGCAATTGAGATGCGTGCGAAACCGAAGATCGCAAAGTAACGAATTCTCTTAAATAGCCGAACTCTACTGAACTTGGCAAAAAATTAGTTACAAACCTGTGGAGATAGGATTGACAAGCTTATTTTGTAAATAGTTTTTAATATTATTTGTATTTATTTCGTCATTCTTTCACTGTATGAATATTAATCATTAAATGATTGTACCTGTTGTTTTTTGTACATGACCTCGAACACCTTTTCCGTTGTTTACCTCACTTGGCGTGACATACTTGTGATTGTTCGCAAATACACTGCTACACATACACCGAATATTATCCACATTTATAGACTGTGAGTTGGCACATATCACATCTAACAGTGGTTTACATTATTCGAGAGCTCAACAACCTGTACGGAATTATCGAACATTTATAATTGTGGATTTACAGCACCGAACTCAATCTGAACACGCAGCAACTTGGTGAGTTTAAGTAAATTTCATATTTTTATGTTGCATTAATAACTATTAACATTATTATTTAGTCTTTAAAATTTGGTTAACATTTTTTCGCGATCATATTTGTCTGGTCCACCACAATTATTTGGTGAGCCTAGAATTCATTATAGACGTTTACTGTTTATATATATATATATATATATATATATATATATATATTATTCGGCACGCTACTCCATTGTTGTTTTTCCCACCATGAACCCTCCCACTAAACTCATTGATATTGACAGTCCACCTATCAAGCCCTAAAACACTTCACAACCCGAAGAAAACGCTCTGAGCTCCATCAACGCCATTTCAGAGCTACGACTGCCAATGTATGTTGTTACTAACCCTAGAATCTGATTTGCCCAGGTAGAAGCATTATTTTTGGCACCAAGCATACGCTCTCAAGCGACCGAATACGCACACGTTGTCGGAGCATTACCAATAGATGTGGCTACAGAGTTCGGCGATCTAATTGATAATGTACCTGAGACGAACTTGTACGACGAAATTAAAGCCGAAGTTATTTGCCGTACTTCGCAGTCCGATGAAAAACGATTACAACAACTACTTACACCATGCAAATTAAGGGATCCTCGCGGACCCTCGCACTTACTCAGACATATGAAACAGTTAGCAGGGCCATACAAGGTAGATGACGCATTACTCAGTCAGGTGTGGTTTCGACGTTTACCATACAATGTCACACAAATCCTCAGTGTACCGGGAACTTCTGTTAATCTTGATGACCTAGCTGACATGGCAAATAAAATGATGGAGATTTACCCTGACAGTCGGCATTTGAACTCCATACAAACCTCTAGTACTTATGTTATGAACGTCCCTCTTTACATTCAGCAGCAAATAGCACATTTAACTCGGGAAGTAGCATTGTTCCAGGCGACTATAGCCACAATCCATTCTCGACCTGCTAGATCGACCACGACAATGTGATCAATGTCCAGACGTCGCCCTAGATCACCCAAACAGTCAGCGAACACTTGCTGTTATCTTGCGACTTTCGGTGACAAGGCACGCCGTTGCATTAAATCGTGCCACTACCCCCAAGCAAGTTGTAAGTGGCTAAAAGAGAGTTCAAACATATGATGCAATTTGACATTATTAGACCATCTAACAGCCCGTGGGCCTCGCCACTTCATATGGCACCAAAGAAAGATCAAGACTAGCGTCCATGTGGTGCATGTCGCCGACTAAACGACCATACCATCCCTGATAAGTATCCAATTCCTCACATACACAATTTTTCATTAAATCTACACGGCAAATGCATCTTTTTGAAACTCGACCTAGTACGAGCATATCACCGAATTTCCATGGCACCAGAAGACGTTGAAAAACAGCCATAATCACAACTTTTTGTTTGTTTGAGTTTCTAAGGATGCCATTCGGACTGAAAAATGCTGCTCAGAAATTTCAACGCTTCACGGACAACGTTACAAGAGGTTTGGATTTCGTGTTTGTCTACATAGACATGTTTTGATTGCAAATGCATCATTAGAAGGACACGTTCAACATGTACATATCCTCTTTGATCGTTTTAAAAACATGGTGTTGTCATTAATCCTTCGAAATGTATATTCGTAGTCCCAGCCTTAGAGTTTCTAGGACATTACATCGACTCTCAAGGTATCAAACCACTTCCAGAAAAAGTCTTAGTCATAGTCAATTTTCCTGACAGATATCCAGTTTATAAAAGCCTCCTCTAACGTTGTCGCAGACACACTATCTAGGAAGGATATCAATATGATGGCACTCAATCACGACATCTGCCTCGAAACCCTGGC